TCAATTTCTGTTTTACATTTAAAAAACCTTGCTTAGTATAGATTCCACAAAGTGGAATTACTGGGTCAATGGATATGCTTATTTTATAGCTCTTGAAATACTATGACAAATTTTATATTTCTTTCAGATTAATTGGTAAAAAGAAATTGGTAGTTTTATTTTTTTAAGGTTTTTTTTTTTTGTGATTCGGGTGAAAGTTTACACAACAAATTCACTTTCCATATGGCAGTTCATATACACTTTGTCTCATGACATTAACTACAATTTACCACAATGCAACAGCTCCCCTTCTTTTTCCTCCTCATAGTTACCTCTTCCCTGTGTCCTTCCCTCCATGCACTCCTGCCGTCTGAGCTATGTCCCTGTGCATAAACAGCCCTTCTATTCTCCCATGATTGTTCTCTCCCAGGAGTATATCTACCTAGTGTAAATGTTCAGCTCATATACCTGTTTGTTGTTTGGCTGAAAGCCATAGGAGTGGGTCTAGTTCTGAAGCGCAGCTAGGGGCCATAGTCTCAGTGGTTCCATCAGGCTCTATCAGATAGTAAACCTGGTCCCTTTTTTTTTTTTCAAATGATTTTGAGTTTTGTTCCACATTGTTTTCCCACTCTATCCATGATCTCCTACGGAGATCCACTTCCAAGTGGGTGACAGTGGTAGCTGGCTACCATCTAGTTCTTCTGGTTTCAAAGTAGTATACGCTAAGGATCGCATGGTATATTAGTCACTTGGACTAATTGTTTCCATGAATCTTTGGTTTTCTTCATTCTTCTTTGCTTTAGACAAGGAGAGACCCATCGTTGTATCTAGATGGCTGCTTGCAAACTTTTAAGGTCCTAGTCACTACTCACCAGAGTAGGATGTAGAACAATGTTTTGTGTACTGTGTTATGCCAATTGAGCTTGATGTCCCCTGTAGTCCTGAGCCCATAGGTTCAACTACTCGCTCCCTCTAGTTAGCTGGCTGTGGCCAAGAAGTGATGACAACCTTATCCCTTGTCAGCTCTACTATATACCTGGGAATTCTTACAGCACATAGCAATACACTTGTAGAAACATTTTCTGCCAACCCTATACTTGGTCTTGGGCACACTCCCCCCTTCATAGACATACCTAATAGTTCAGCCTGTCCACCCATCTGTCCACCCATATAGGCATGTTTGCCTTCACTGACAACTCAGTACCATATATGCAAAAGGGTTCATCTTTGTTGTCTGCACCTCCCATGTACCCCTCTATGCCTTCCTCTTCTTCAGTGCCACCATGTTGATCACTCACATTTGGTACATTGCCCTTGTCTTCACCCAAATCAATACTTGTTTCTACCTAACAGTGTTCCCTCCCCTCTCATCCCATCCCTGGTAACCAACAAAGAAAATTTTCTTCCATATAAAAACTTTTCCTTGACTTTTTACAATAATGGACTAATACAATATTTATCCTTCTGTGATTGACTTATTTCACTCAGCATCATGTCCTCCAAGGAGCTCTGGTTGCATAGTGCCTAAGGCACTTGA